GTTTTATTTTAGTAATATATCTCCTCCAATTTTAAGTGCTTCTGACACTATTCCATCTTCGCTTGGGGTTCGATTATTTTTCATTTTCGAGACCTTTTTGATTTCTGATTTTGTTATGTCGGGCATTAAATCTGATCATTTATTCTTCATTTTAGTCAGAACAATCTTCTAGTCTTCATAAATATAACGACTGTTTTGCTTCTCATGCTAATGATATTTGAAGGTTTAAAGATGTTTTGCCAGTTATGTTTGAAAGACCAACTTATATTCTCCTTATACATGTACCTCAGTGGTTCGTCGTTTTTTGACAATGTCCATGTCTTTGATCAATAGTTATGTGTTTTATATATATTAGTATTTCATGATAACGAGTCATATCTTAGGTGATTTAATAGTCTATTGTATCCTCTTCTATAACGAAAATCAACTATACGTAAAATAATTATTTTCCCTTCTTCTTCTTCTTTTGGTGCCTATCCTTTGTGAATGTTGGAAATCACGTTGGTTCATACAACTTTGTTGATAGCTGTTCTAAATAGATGTATGGTAGTCATTCCTGCCCACTGCCTGATGTTCTTTAACCACGATGTCCTTCTGCGCTCTTAAGATCTTTTGCCTTCTATCTTGCCTTGTAAAATTAGTTGAACTAGTTGATAATTCTCATTGCGTATCACATGCACTAAGTATGTCATCTTTCTGATTTTCACGATACGCATAATTCCCAGATCTTTATTCATACGTTGGATCACGGTGTCGTTTGTAATATGATGGATATAGGAAATTCTGAGCATGTGGCGGTAGTACCAATATTTCGAAGGCTTCTAATCGTTTAGATGTTGCCTCCGTGAAGGTCCATGCTTTGACTCTATATAAAAGGGTAGAAAATACATTACATTTCAAGACTCGTGTTCTTTTATCAATGTTTAGGTGCATATTACATAAAATCTTACTGGGGCGATTGAAGACAGCTCTCGCCTGTTCTATACGACATCTTATTTCCTGTGAGTGGTCCCATTCCTTATTTGGGCTGCATCCAAGATATGTAATTTTGTCGAATATTTTCAAGGGTTCATTACTAGCTGTGAATTGGTGCTGTATTACGTCGTTTTTACTTACTACAAAACTAGACAGAAACACTGACTTCTGTCTCTTGCTCTTCCTTTAATAATTCTTCCATGTATTGCCTCCATCTATTAAGTATACTCTCATTTTCGTAGAGCAGATTGTTCTGCTTGTCTAGTATTAAGTTATGACGTCGTGATCCGTTTCCTCCCGTTAAGTTTTTGATCTTTTTATGTAAGTTAAAAGTGTCATGCTTCTATTCTAGGGATTCTATTTCTATGCATTGATTTTGTAGCAATGATTCTTTTGCTTCTTTAATCTTTTTCTTAATGATTTTGTTTATTTCTTTGTACCTTTCCTCATTCTTATTTTTGTGTTTTCTTCGTTCTTCCATTAGCTTTATTATTTCTTGTCTCATCCACGGCTGTTTCTTTATATTATCTCTGTTTTTTGGCTTAAGTTTATTATCTACCACTGAATTATAGCTATTTTTGATTTTATTTCACATATCATCCACACTTATGTTTTCTTGATTAATATATGAGATTACCATGCTGTTTATTTTATTATTGATTTCCTCTCTGACTTTATATTTCAACTTCTGGATGTCCGGACGTTTTTGTGCTTTTCTTTTATGGACATTTTAAGTACTACAAAAAACCCCTTAATTACTACAAAAAAAAATTTATTCGAGTCAACTTTTTATTTTAAAGTTTTCATTATAAGTCTGATCAGTTCAAAAAAATTAACAATTTGTCGAATAAATTCTATATTTTAGCTTCAATGTACAACAGAAATATATATATATATATATATATATATATATATATATATATATATATATATATATATATATATATATATATATAGATAACTCAATAAGAGGAGGAGGCGTAGGAATTTGGGTTCGAAAAGGTCTTAATTTTAATAACAAACTCAACTCTAGGATAAAGCAATATTGTGTTGATAAACATTTTGAATATTGTATTACTTCTTTCAAAGACAAGAAAAATAATTCATATGCTATATTAAATTGTTACAGATCACCATCTGGTGATTTAAGTATTTTTTTGAATAACCTCGAAGGTATTTTAAACTGTTTATATAAACCAAATATACGTTTTGTAATATGTGGTGATTTTAATGTAGATACCAGACATATGACTAACGACCATGTTATTCTACTAAATGTTTTACTGAATTTTAATATTAATTTTAATCTTGTCAATTGGCCAACTAGGGTCACGGATACCAGCGTAACAACGTTAGATAATGTATTTGTAAATTTCTCGAACTCCGGTTTGTCATGTGTACTTGACAACACTGTATCAGATCACAGAACAGTTTTAGTGGAACTTGACTTTGAAGCGGAATTATCATACTTTATACAAAAAAGACAATTTGGCGAGGAATCGATAAATCACTTTATCGTTAACCTCATTAGCAAAAACTGGAATAATGTTTATGGAATCTTAGACACTAATCTAGCATTTCAAGCTTTTATAAATATCTTTTTGTATCATTTTAATAATAGCTTTCCATTAACAAGGAAAAAAATCAAAACAACTAAAAATAAATGGATTAATAGTGAAGTGCGAAAGTCTAGTTTTGAATTAAAAAATTTACACGCCTTATCAAGGGCAGTACCAATTCTTAGAGATTTTTATCAACAACAAAGGAAAAAACATAGAAAACTTTTGACCAAAACAAGAAAAGATTATTACCAGAAAATCATTACTTCGTCTGATAATCCCAATAAAATCACGTGGAAAGTTGTCAATGATTTCTCAAAAAGTGCTAATAATAATGCTAATACTTTTTTAATGTATGATAACAATAATATAATAACAGATCCCCAAGAGGTAGCATGCACTTTTAACACATTTTTTAAAAATGCACCCATTGATATCGTGTCGAAAATTCTAGGTAATACAGTAGACAAAGACCGTCAGTCAATTATTACAGATCATGAAAATTTCTTTCAATTGTACCCATTTACTGGGCAGGAACTGATCGAACTCCTCCAGAGTAAACTTAAAAACAAATCCTCTAGTGGTTTTGACGAGATACCTGCATTTTTGGTGAAAAAAGTTTTACCTTTTATAATCAATCCTTTAACTTATCTAACCAATTTGTCTTTTTGCAATGGGGATTTTCCTAATTACTTAAAGACAGGCAAAGTAGTTCCCATTTTTAAAAAAGGAGATCCAAAACTGGTCAGCAATTATAGGCCTATAACAATTCCCAGTATAATTTCAAAGGTATTTGAGTATGGATATTTAAAGAGATTAAATGGTTATCTAAAAAACAATAATATCATAACTATAAATCAACATGGATTTCAAGAAAATAAATCTACTAATACGGCAGTCCATGCATTTTATGCTCATTTAACCAGTCTGATTGATGCAGGCGAATGTTCTATTGGAATATTTTGTGATCTTAGTAGGGCATTTGACTGTGTGAACCATGAAATATTATTTAAAAAACTAAAACAGATAGGTATTACAGGAAACTCTTTAAAGTGGATTATGTCATTTTTAAACAATAGACAACAATATGTGAGCCTGCAGACAAGGATCGAGGATTGTGTGACCAGTTGTAGATCTAGTCTTGTTACTACAAACATGGGTGTTCCCCAAGGATCTATAATAGGACCAATTCTCTTTGTAGTCTACATTAACGACATCGTACAAGTGGACAGAGCGGTAAATTTCACTATATATGCGGATGATACGTCAATTATTCTATCTAACAAATCCAACGTAATCCTACAACATCAATGTAATAATTTTCTTTCATCTTTATATTCTTGGTTTTGCGATAACTCGTTGCATCTAAATGCAGAAAAAACGCAAGTTATACATTTTCACAATAAACAAAAATACTTGGAAAATCTTCAGCTTACTTTTAACAACATGCAAATAGGTACCGTGTCGTCAGGCAAGTTTTTGGGAATAACGATTGACGAAAGTTTGGATTGGAAGTTGCATTGTGGAGCGGTTGTTTCGAAGTTGAGTTCTATTAACTATCTAATTAGAAATTTAAAATATGTTCTGACGGAAAATCAGCTAATTATGATTTATTATGCACTCGTAGAGTCCAGGCTAAGATACGGGATATGTTTTTGGGGTATGTCTGGTTATGCAAATGGTATTTTCGTCATACAAAAGAAAATATTGCGTTGTGTCGCTGGTGTCTCCCGACTAACTAGTTGTAGAGAATATTTTAAAAAATATAAAATTTTAACATTGTCGTGTCTATACATTTTTGAATTATGTGTTTTTATTTTTAATAACTTACATCAGTTTAAAACGAGTGGTGATATGCATAATTTAAATACTAGATATTGTAATAAACTTTATATACCATTTTCAAAAGGTAACATTAAACTTAAATCGCCCAGGGTATACGGGCTACAGGTGTTTAATCATTTGCCCACAGTTGTAAAGTCCACCAGTTCAATAAATGTATTTAAGATGAATCTTAAGCAATTTTTATGTGAAAAAGTGTTTTATACAATCGAAGAATTTTTTAGATCTTAGATATTAGCTGTATTTCGTTTAGCTTTTAAATTCATTTCATGTCTTGTTTAGTCTAGTTTAGTGTTTAGTTTGTAGCAATGTATATTTATGACTAATTCTATACAAACTATGTTTGTCAACAAGAAAATAAAGAATTTAATTTAATTTAATTTATAATAGAATTAACAATGATAATCTGCGACTAAGATATATTTTTTTAGTATTCTAGTTCAGATATTTGCAACAAGATATTTCTAGTTTTACTACAAATTTTATAGTAAAATCTTTATTGTCAGAATTTTCTGCTTTGAAAATTTCTCAGATGCGATAAATAAAGCTAATCGCTGAGAAATTCAAAAGAATTCCTTCTTGTAGGATATAATGCGACGTTATATGTGAATAATTTTATTGCAGGAACATGGTCAAAGAGATTATTTTCTATTGGAGCATTACATTCCTGAATCTATGTCTTCCGCTATTGAAAATACCGAAAAACTGAGACATGAGCTGATCCAAGCTCATGTTTTAAAGCACGGAATGGACGGTGACAAGGCAGAGGAGAGTTTTATATCGCTAGCTCAGTCACTACCGCATTATGGAGGACATTTTTACACTGCAACATGGGTAAGAAATTTCTAAGAATTGCTTAGTATGTTAGTATATTATTAAATTAATTGAAGTATATCTTCTTCTATAATTACGTATAAAATTATGCTTATTTGATTATCATTGAGAACAAAATATGCTGTATGTGGATTTTACAAATTTAACTTTTATTGAGAAAATTAATTAAAAATAGTATCCAATATAGCAAAAAGAAAAATTTACTGAATATTACTTACATGTAAAAGTAAAGGCCCCATGACTGTATTTAATTTCAAAATATATTTTCCGGAACAGTGTTTTACTTAATTTATTAGGGGAATAATGCTGTTAATCCTATGATTAATCAGGATTTTATATTTTTGACCGAATCTGCTACTTACTAATCTAATAATTGTTGTTGCTTCACAAGCTAACACTTCACTGTTTTGACTATAATTAATGCCCTATATTAAACTGGAATTTATACATATATCACTATCACACAAGTTCGAAAAGTGTGGTGTGTTTGAGCCTGTGGTCTTGATTATCTAGCACTTCCCTGTTTGCTTGGTTATGAGTCGGTTTTCGTGATCCTGGCAATCTTATTTATTTCTTCTTTAATTGTTACTATACGAAATTCCCGATGTAGGTCTTATATATACCACGAAGCGTTGACTATGGTCCTCAGTATTCGGTTTTGGACTCTTTAAAGGCAAGCATAGTTACTCCCACTGGTACCATATCTCTAGATCATAGGACTCTACTAGTTTAAGCATTTATTTGTAAACTAATTCCTTTTTTTTATTGTTATTTTGAGTCTCTATCTAATAACCAATATGGCTTCTTGTATTTCAGTTTCAGTTCTTAAGTTTTTTTTCTGATCTGTTCCTGCTAATTTGTTGCTTAATTTGCTATCCAGTAGCAATTGGTATTAACTGTTTTCTTGTACGGGACGATTTTGTTGTTTAGTCTAACTGATTGGAAACGCGCAGAGGTTTCTCTAACACCGTCTAAGTGCGATCGAAATCTTTGGAGAAGTCTAAGTAGACTACATCCGATAGGATACCGATTTTTTATAAAGATAATGGCCAATCATTTATACAATGAAGTAAGTTTGTGATCGTTGAACGTTGAGGGATGACATTTTCTTGAAAAAGAAACTCAGGCATAGCTTCCGAAATAATCGGTTGCATGACCTTGCCGACAAAAAGAACCAGGCTGATTGGACGATTATTATTGCAATCAAGTTTATTTTCTTTATTGAATATAGGAGTAACCGAAGCCAATTTCCAGGACGGGGAAGATAACCTTGATTAAAAGAAGCATTCAGTATAAGAGGTCTAATGATGGCTACAGATTCTGCACATTGTTTGAGAAAAATGGCGGTGAGTCCGTCCAATCCAGGTGATGAATTATTTCGTAGTTTCCTTAAATAATTTTTAATTTCATCCGGTGTGAAAGATATATTGTCAAGAGTTTTAGTCAAACGTGGGCACATTATTTGAGGAATGGTTACCAACTAACCAGTTGGTAACTAATCAGTTACCAGCTGTTCTCCGTTTGAAGAGGTTTACTCTCCGGCTCTGGAACTCACTTCAGCCATGTATGTTACCTGAAGTCAAATTTAATTTAATACTGAACATCACAGTTTTTTTACAACATGATATATAATCTTTTACAACTATATGTAATTTAAAGGGTTTTTACTTAGGTATTTTGGTGGCTCAGGCATTAACCTTGCAATTTTAAAATTTTAAACCTGATCATGGACTGTTTAGTCCGAAAACGTTTGTTTTTTTGATGAAGCCCTTTTAAGGGTTTTTAAATAAATATACCCATTTACGAAGACTAACTTTTTTTATTAAGAAAAGAGTCTTACATTGAGGATGGATCAGAGTGATTAAGAAAGATAGATTGCCAGTTTAACTTTGATAACACTGAATTTACATTAAAGAAATCAGTAGTGAAATACGTTACAAAATTATTTTTGCAAGGCGCGGTGTTAAACTATATTGATTGTGAGCAATAATAAGCTAGTGATCAGGAAAACCCACAGGAAAGGACATTTTAAGTAATTAATTAATCGTCATTTGGGAAAAATAAGTCTAAAATTAAAGGATAATTGTTGGCTCTAAACCTTGTAGGTTCAGTTATCAGTTGTAATAAATTTGAGTTCATGAAGTTTTTAAACAAATTTTGGGAATTGATATTATCAGTTTTGGAAATAATGGTCAGCTAGTCAGTGAAGCAAGTTATCGGGGAGGCCTAAAAATCAACATTTCAAAGACAAAGTGGATGGCAGTTGGAAAGATCCATATAGATCAAGGTCTGCCTTCTCTTAATGGAGAAGAGATAGAAAGGGTAAATCATTTCAAATACCTTGGCAGCTGGTTAAATGTAAATTGTGACTCTGATGAAGAGATAATATCCAGGATCGAAATATCACGTAAGGCTTTTATGACCTGGAAACCAGTTTTATGCAACAGAAACCTGTCAATGATTATTCATAAGAAGGTCCTGAAATGTTATGTGTGGTCGATCCTATTGTATGGTTGTGAGACATGGACGTTAAAAACCACAATGCTAAACAAGCATTCGAATTGTGGTGCTATAGACGAATCCTAAAGATATCGTGGGTTTCGCACACTTCCAATGAAGATGTTCTTCAAATGGTCAATTCAGAACGTCTGCTCATAAACACCATAAAGAGGAGAAAAACAGAATACTTCGGCCATATAATTAGAGGACCTAAATACCATTTACTTCGCCTTATAATACAAGGAAAAGTGGAAGGAAAGAGATGGATTGGTCGAAAGAAACTTTCATGGCTGCGTAATATTAGACAATGGTGTGGTTTCACAGTAGAAAAATTATTTCGCGCAGCAGCCGAGAAATCTCCAACAAAAATAAGATTTTCAAGGGATGATAAGTTTGTTAATAAGCATATTGTCCTGAGTAAGTACTGTATCCGGAGATCGGTATTTGCAAACTATACTAAATATGAAAGAGTTATTAGTAAGTGGATAATTTCTATACCGGATACGTCTATTGTTTTATTAGTGATAGAAAAAGTATTGGTAATTTCAGTTGCTAAATAGATGCATACTCCTCCCCCTCGACAAGTACCTCTATCTCTACGAAATATAGTAAAATTATCAATGTTTATAATAGCATCGGGAGTAGAAGAATTAAGCCACGTTTCTGTTAGGATCATAATGTGAGGTTTTATAAGTTGAACAGTACTTATAAATTCATTAAATTTGGATATAAGGGAGTTTAGATTCGTATACATAAGAAGCCAATCCGTAAATTTTGGTGCAGACGAATTATGAACGAAATTTCATTATCTTTGGACAGTTATTCACATATTTAATCGTAAAGTTATTTTCTCCATTATTTTTACTAGTTTCAAGTTCAGTACGAAGTTGCTGTATAGGTGCTGCATAGGTTGCTGCATAGGTGTCTTGCCATCAATAACAGAATAAGTTTCAGTAGATTTGTTTTCCAAAAGTTTATTTTTGTTACGAAGAATTTTTCAAGTGTGGTCTTCAGAACTCACTATCATTTTTATCATGCGTTGATAACGTTTATTTTGATTTGAATTATCAACTCTATAAAATGTGACTTTCGTGACATCCAATGACTTTTAGGGCTAAATATAGTTCATTCTTATGATGATCTTTTTTATTTTGTGCGTCTCCTCTAGGTTCAGGGATGAATCTAACCAAAAAAAAATTGAAACGAGATATGCGGTCAGCGACTTCATTGACAATGCTGTTGGTAAATTATGTTGTTGCAATAGAATCAAGTTGATTTAATTTATTGCTGAATTCAGATAGTTTAATATTAAAGTCTTTAATTTTCTTCTTAATGTCCGCTTTAAACTCAACTAGTGGACTCTTGATTTCTTGATTGACTTGCATTGCAAAGTATACATATTCCACGTACTTTTTGCCTCGTAACTCAATCATTCTGGAGCTTTCTATCGGAGGTAGAAGTTAGCTAGGAATTAGCGCAAAACGATGTATTATTCATGATTAACTTTGTGCTAGCTTTAGATATGAATTATAATTATTGGATTAATAATAAACAGCAAATTTATCGTATCACTTACTTGACTGTTTAAAAACACAATCACAATCAATTATTTCTTTGGTTTTTTAAAAACGCATTTAAAATCAATTCAATTTTAATTTGTTGGTATGGTGATATTGGTATGAAATATCTATCGATTTCCTTTTTTTTCCAGATTATGAAAGACGGCAATCATAAAGACATTTGGTTGTACATAAGTGCTCAAGGAATGAATATGTATGAAAGAGGTAAGAACACGAGCCACTTCGGCCCACAGTTATATGAGAAATTTGAGTGGAGGAATATTCAAACGCTATGCTATAGCAAACAATATCTTTGCATCTTACCACACAGCAACTATGAATCTGTATCAAAGCTAAAGAAGTATAAGTTGAAGATGGATCAAAAGAAGTAAGTATTTCTGTATATTTTACTAGTGCTTTCTAAATACAACCCTATTCTTCAATATAATTTAAACTTTAGTTCAACACATCTGTTTTAGCAAATTTTCAATTTATATATCCCATCTCTAGTATCGGATCAGAGCTGCGATAAGTGTTACTTAATACGTACCAGAATTTAACAACTTGTGTGTTTCCATATCCTTGTTCTCCAATTCAATACTTTTTGTTTATGCCAAGATAAATTCAGTCATATTGTATTAACATTTGTAAGAGAAAAGTTTAGGTACTTTCTCCTCCAAACTATGCCTACAACCTTGCCAGTCCCACGCTGATTTTCTCCAGGTTCTCATATCTAGCAAATTTTGCGGGTCCGCTGCTACTTCATCCCTCCACCATTTTCGTGGCCTTCCTTTTGGTCTTGCGCCCTTAATACTACTAGGTTACTATCTAGGGTTCTTTTCGGCAATCTTTTAGTCTCCATTCTCAATTCTCACTACATGACCAGTCCATCGAAGTCTTTGAAGTTTGATTAATTCTGAGATCCGTATCTCTTTGAACAGTTGGTAGAGTTAATGGTTCTGGATCTCCATACTCCGTTTTGGTTATTAGATCCAAATATCTTCCTAAAGACTTTACTTTCAAACACTTCCAACTTTCCTTTTGTGTTTTCTGTCATCACCCATATCTCACATCCATTACATGATGTGCTTTGATAATAGTTTTATAGACCCTCATTTTCGATGTCCTATGTGTTTTTGGGAGCAGAACACATGGGCGAGTAAAAAATAAGCTTTGTTTTCTTTACTCTTCTTCTTTGATTTTCTGCTTCTTTTATTACAAATTTACTTAATACAACTCCCAAATATGTAAAACTTTCTACAATTTCAATATTGTCCAATAATTCAACTGTGCGTCTGTTTCCCCTAGCTTTGTCCTAAGTTAGTTTTTTGTCTTGTAAATATTTATTTAACTGTGATTATATTTTTGCGCCTCTTCCGTTCTGCGAGACATAATGCTGATGTCATCGGCATAGGCGGCAATATGTTATGATTTATTTGTTATAGTAGATTAGCTGTTCCTATATTTAACTGTCTTATCGCATATTTGAGAGACAAGTTGTATAGTGTCGGCTAGCCCGTCTTTTACTTTAATCCTTTAACTATTGAAAAGTTCTCACTGAGCATATTTTGTATCCTGAGAGTTGATTTTGACGAGATATTAAAGTTATGCAAGATTTAATATAACTTTTTTTTCTTCTTCTTCTTTTTATGTAGAGATGACTCTCTGTTTTTCAATGTGCCTCCAGTAAGTTGTCGTTTCATTGTTTTCGTGGTCTTCCTACTGATTGTCTTCCAATTGGGGAACCGTTCTACTCTTCTATTTTTTACTTAGTTCTTGAGGTTCTCCACCTTATATCTACGTCGTATATCTGTACTTCTAAATCTGTCTCATAGTGTCTTACCATCAATGTTTTTAAGTGTTTTCAGCTTTGCTGTTTCTAACATCCTTTTTGTCTTCTCTATGTCAGGTCGTGTTATCTGATGCGTATATCATTATTTGTCTCATGACTGTTTTGTAAATTCGGCCTTTCATTTCTTTCCCGATATTTTTATTTCTCCATATTGTTTCATTTAATCAATCTGCGGCTCTGTTTGTTCTATTCACTTGATCTTCCACTTCAGTTTCGAGCTTTCCGTATCCAGATAATGTGATACCTAGATATTTAAACTCCATCACTAATATCTATTACTTGGACCTTCCAGCTCCAATTTACATCTTAGTAAATTTGCTGTTATAACCATGCATTTTGTCTTTTTTTGGGGAAGTAACAAGTTAAATTTTCTGGCGGTTATATTAAATTGGTGCAGCATACGTTGTAAATCATCTTTTAGTTCTTGTTTTTTTTTTCTTATTTCATCCATAATTAGGTTGAACAATAGAGGACTCAGGGAATCTCCCTGTCTCATCTTATTTCCAGCTTTAATAGGGTCTGTTAGTTATTCTACTTTTACTTTTATTGTGTTGTTTTGATAGATATTTTCGATCGTTTTGATTATTCCTAGAGGTATCTTTCTTGCGTACAATAAGTGGATAACGTTCTTTAATTTAACCCAGTAAAATGCCTTCTTAAGGTCCACTAAACATAAGTATGCAGATTTTTTGTATTTTAATGATTTCTCTTTCACTTATTATTATTATATTATAAGTCTAGTGTCGGCGCCTGATATAACTTGTGTTTATTAATTGTGGGAAATCTAATTATACTTTGAAAATTAATGCAATTATATCGAGCACAAGTATAATTAAATCTTGCCCAAGTACTATCCGGCAAGCGTAGAATGTCATGAATATGAATGATAACATAAAATTGTACAAACACTACACTAAAAACAAGGACAAACAGTTTAAAATTAGTTAACATATTTCTACGCTCTACATTCTTTGGCGGTATCAGGAGAGAGAATGATACCGCCAAAGAATCTAGACTGTAGAAATATTTTAACTAATTTTAAACTCTTTGTCCTTGTTTTTAGTGTGGTGTTTGTACAATTTTATGTTATCATTCATATTAATAACATTCTACGCTTGCCGGATAGTCCATATTTGACGAAATGCCCCTGAAGATGCTATATGAAGCGAAAGTACTTGAGCAAGATTTAATTATACTTGTGCTCGATATAATTGCCTTAATTTTCAAAGTTCATTTATTCGAGCATTCAACCTCATATCAATTATTTAAAATCTAATTATGTTGTGGACGCAAATGTCGAATTCCCACGAGTTGTTTCACTGTGAGTCCGTTTGTTGAATATGTAACATTAAGTCATCACTCTTCAATTCCATAACAAATATCAGACCAGAATTTAATTTTAAAAAAGCAGTATATTTAGTATTAACAATCATTTTAGATTTATTAACTTTACAATTTAATTATGCTATTATTTCTTTTCAGAAGTTACTTTACGTTTCGCCTGGCCTCCCTCCATCATCAATTTTTTCTTCGATTTCGAACGGACTACATATCACCCCATACCTTATCTCAGCAATTCGGCGTGCCTCTTAAAGACATGAAAAATGAGGCGAATTCAATGTACAAACTGGACTCTATAATGAACTCAAATTTAAATCAAAACAAGAATGGTTGTGTTAACGCTGATACTGAGTTTAAAATTGAATTCAAGTCATCGCCGAGGTTGAAACGATATTTACAAGACGAAAATAGATTAAAAAAAGCGAAAAGTATTGGAGATTTTAACGAAACCATCAACGAAAATGATCAAAACAAAGAAAACGAAAACAATGGTTTCGGTTTGGTTCTTGAAAGCAAACATCTGTCTGGATTGGCAGTCAGTTCAACTGACAAGAGAAGAGGAGTTAAAATGGGCACGCGAGCGTTTGTGAACAACTGCAAATCTGGCTTATCCAGATCAATGGAAGCTGTGAATGCTATTAGTAACGAGTACCTAGAAGAGATGTCGCTGCAGTCGGTATCATTGCATTGCAGTTCTACTTCAGCTTCAAGGCCTACTACAGGAAAATGCACCCCTAATGAAATTTTTGTTTTAGGTAAGTATTTAACTACCAATAATTATTCTTGCTCTCAAACTTGTTTGTGGTTCTACGTATTTAAGTAATTGGGTTTAAGTTAGTATCTTTCGATGATCCCTGACACCAATTAAGCATTTTAGAAACAAGCTAAATAGTCTTGTCTTATTTTTAATATCTTTTTTTCTGTCATAAGTCAGTTTATGTAAATAAATTATCATCGTTATCTCCATTATCATCAAATGCATGTAGACTGTTGCTTTAGTTTACGTGGAAGAAACCTAATCAAACTTTTCAAAACCTGTATAAAAATTTCTCCGTACACCATAAATTTATTTTCTATCGAATAATATAATACCTGCAATGGTTTTTTTTATTAAAAACACGATAAAAGTCTATTTTTTTAATAAAGAAAAAAATAGGTAAAAAAATACAGGGAAAACAATAAAATAATACAAAGAAGATAATATACGGACACATATGCAGTGAGGTCCTAAAGTAACGGATACATTCATTTTATACAATATTATGAATACAAATGGAAAATCCTGAAACAGGTCAATTTTTATATATGAAAATACACTTTCCCAATGACATTATTCAAATGTAACTCCCTAAGGGTAGTAGTTACCCCTGAAAAAATTTTAAATAAAAAGAAGTAGCGTGTGGTACAGCGCTTAAAAGGTTTTTAATGCTCTATTAAGCAATGTAATTTTTTTTACAGGGATAATCAAGGAAAAAATATTTATTTCATTTCATCAAAAACCAATCGAGTCTAATATATTTCACAATTGACTTGTCTATTAGTTGTTTTGTTTTAAAAAAAGTAACATCGGATCTTTTTGGGTATTTTGTAAAATAATAGTGTCATAGAACGAATTTAAGTTTATAAACAATCATTACAACAATTTAGTCTAAATCATATGCTCAAAATGATCATTGTTCATCCCTTGACAGAAAAATAGATGGTGTTCTTCTATAACATTTTGCAATATGTCTGTGATGAATTCATTACTTTCTTACATCAGCGGTGCTTTACATCATAAACATTGGTTGGTTTCATCATGTAAATTTTTGTTTTTAAATAGCCCCACAAGAAATAATCCAGTGGAGTCAAATCGCAAGAACGGGGTGGCCACTCAATTTCGCCACGTGTACCAATTCATCGATGCGGAAAAGTTTGATCAAGAAATGTTCGTACTGCTGCTGGATGTTGTGGAGCTTTATCTTGTTAAAACCATATGTTTATTAATTTCTGCGGGGTTAACAGCATCTGATAATACAAAGTTATAAAGTAATATAATACAAAGTTTTAATTATATCGTTATCACTAGCCAATTCTCCTGTTGGTTTTTGTAGATTTTCCTCAACAATTAACAATACATCCAATTTCTTTTGGTCATTTAAGGTTGATCTGCCAGATATGGAAAGATCTTTGACTGGAAAGTAGGCTGGGAAGTGTGACGGTCAGCATAATTTTCATTAAATAGTCTGCATACCTCAGAATGCATCTTGTTTTATCTGAGATCTACGTATTGCTTTTTCCAGGGCAAGATTAAATAGTATACAGGAGAAAATTAACAGTTATTTGTTCAAACAGCTGTCCTGGATTCGTACTCCAAGAATTTGTTAAATTTACCAACCGATTTTGTACTCCTAGCTCTTTGATTGCTTTGTATATTTTTCTTCTATTTACAGTCGTAAGCTGTGTTGTAGTCTATAAATATGTGATGAGTATCTATATCATATTCATATACCTACCACATATACTACCTCTGAATCCAGCCTGGTATTTTTCTAACGGTAGAGAGATTTCTGATTTTAGTTTCTTCTTCCTCTATATAAAGTGCCTGGTTAAAGCAATCCACCCATCAATTCAATACATCTTTCCTTGTTGCTAATAAGTCACCATTCGGATTTCTGCATTGTTTTGTAGTTGCCTTGAATTCTTTTTAGTTGATGTTAAGTTTCTTATAGAATGCCCTGAATTATTTCTCTCTGTGTTAAAACATTTGTGTACATCTATACTAATATGGGTCTGGAACTATTTTTTGGTGGCATTGTTACAGTATCTGCTGTATTTAATGGAAATATTTCACAACTTCAGTTTAAAAGTGATACATTTGCCATTTCGATTTCCATTGTGAAAATGTTTGCGGACTATTTCTGAACTTAAAATTGAAACGATAAATATAACCTATCTTTAATTAAAATTTTATTTATTCACGTGAAGTATAGTAGATAATCTTTTACATCAATTTAAGCCTTGCTCTACAGCCTAATTGCATATATTCCACAATTTTTATTCTTGGATCTGATATTTATTGCAGGCTGTATTAGAAGGTGTTTGAATAAATGCACTAACTTCTTTTTACCACAACAGCGATAAAGTCGGTTCTAAAGTAAACATCTTCTTATATTAGCTCTTTTTGAGTGATTTTCATAACTTTTGAAAACACTTAAAATAGACCACATATGGTTTAAGATAGTTTTAGATCACAGATCTAACCAACGGGCTTTAACTTATGATCTTAGTGTGACTATTCTACCAACTGAAGAAATATTTAATCCAATGCCTACCTTAACTACGATTTTTTACGACGATAATTATTTTTTAAATCACTGCTTCCTGTTTATTCTTCAACTGTTTGCTCTCACGATTGAAACTGATCCTACCCTCTTTTTATTCACTGTATAATAAATTTTCATAATAAGGAAGATTTTTATTCATTTTTAATTATTGCGCCAAAGAAATCAAAAGAATTAGGTAGCACAGAACAACAAAAATGTGCCTTGGTTTTATTCTTTCGAGTTCAAATAAAATCTAATAATTTAATCTAACAAAACCTAACAAAATTAGCGATTTGATTGTTTTCCTTTTTTGTTTCAGATTCTACACTAAAACAGACTAGTCAGCTGTTTTTGCCCAATTTCCACGAGACTATCAGCGAATCTCTGCAAGAGAAACTTAACAACTTTTCCTTTGTTGAAGAAAGAATACTGTTCAACGTTTCTTTACAGAGAGAAAACGGCAGCTTTGGTCTTCAAATCACTGAAGGTTCAGACGGAAATGTTTACATACAGTCGGTGATAGAAGGAGGTCCAGCGCATCTTAAAGCGAATGTACAACGAGGTGACCAGATCATTGCTGTCAATAAAAAGTCGTTGTTAGGTTTGAAGTACAACGAAGCTTTAGATATTTTGAAAAGTGCCGGACAGGAAATACAGTTTGTGCTTGCTAGAAGTTCACACAATTTGACAAAAACTAAGTCGGTTTCAAGCATTCTGTCAAAGAATGAATTACAATTAGGGCATAGTTATCTATGTGATAGCCCAGTGGAGAAACACGTTACAGAGAGTTGTAGGGATATATCAAACGTCAGTAAGTATGGAAGGCTATCAAGCCAAACTGAAGTGCCGTATCACAAGCATATTCGTTATAAGATTGAACCCGAAACCGATAGTTTCATGTCCAACAAGGATTTTCCACAAAAGCCCAGTCTAAGTCGATCTTTATCAAAATCTTGTACCAATCTATATTCCTCGGATAACGATAAAGCTGTAGTCGTCGAGATGATTCCCAAAGAGCATATTGATCTGTCCAATATTAATTCTTTGGATAGAAAAACCTTAAGGGAAGATATGACCAAAGTACCAATAGCCCTTCCGCGAAGTTTGGGCGTTAGTAGACGATGGAGAGGCCCCGTTAAGTATCCGGTTACACCAATAAAAAAACTGTCGCAGTTAAACGACAGTACGTACTTGTCAACTTCGGATGAAGAGCAAGTTTTCATATAACACCACCGATAATAACTAGGATTATTATTAAACTAAAATTATTTTTAAAATGGTTAGGTAATGACTGTTATAGGATGTTCTACGTCATAAGTTGTTGGTAGTTGAGAAACTTTTATATATAGTTTAATAAGTGTGCAATATTTATTCGAGCAACCTGCTTTTTGCTACGTAGCTGTTAGGCAACACTTCATATTTACAGTTATTTCTAGGTGCAATATAGTTTAATAAAAACAGTGTGTTGTTTTATTTTTACTCCTTAATGTTTTTTAATCACTAAATATAACGTTTTTTTCTTCTTGTAATTTACAAAAAAATATTAATCAATAAAAGGGAAATTCAGAAGGTTTGACCACCATAGTTTTAAATAACTTACAATGAATTAAAAACTTAAAAACTAATTTAAACAATTAGTACGCAATAACACTAATTTAAAATGATCAAACCACCATCAATGAAAACATCTTAATAATAATTGAAACTAGCTATTGCTTTCTGCACATACGATGACATACAAGGCCATCAGAAAGGAGGGATGAATATATACATTTTATCTAGATCTCTCTGGTGTCCCTTTTGCTTTGGGTATGTATATTACCATAGAAAAACAAAAGCAAGAGGACTATGTGAAACTCTATTTTAAAAGTAAAATCAATAAAAGAATTAACATACATACATATTTTAATATAATCGTTTAATTCTCATAAATCATTTATACCTACAAGTTAAAATACGCTTAATAGGACAGATATAAAAACCAGTACTTATTCATAACCCAGATTGCATTACTAAAGGTGAACGATTAGCGTAAAATCACAGCTTTTCGAAAACTAAATAATATAATACGAACTTTGGATATTTACCTTTATCAGCTAGAAATCAGGAGTGTTCTAAAATATGATATGGTAGGAAATGCCGAAGACGCAATGATTTTCACAGCTGATAGCCACACAAATATCGATGTAAAACAATAAGATGATTTTCTATTTATAAGATACATACCCATCCGTGTCTTTTGAACGGTTATACTTATAATAATGAAATTTGGAGGAGGTAATAAACAGGCAAGGTTTCTTAACTAGTCATAACAAGTGACGCAATAGTGACAGCTAACGTTACAGTACTACTGTGACAGATAATTTTACATGAGACCTTATGGCAAATGGTACCTCGTTTGAAAGGTATTGAAAATACCTATCCAGTCATAATATTATTTTTTACATATTAGACAATCGAGCAGTACATGGAAATATGGTAAAGGCAGAAACTGTAAGAGAAAACATCACTCAACACTACGCATAGAAACATCAGAAGTTTCCATTCCTTCAACAAGTCACATTAACTCAGAAATCTCTCTTTCAAATTATACTAGTGTGGAAACCAAAGGAGTTGTACTTTCAACAGTTAAAATTCTAGTTATTGATCAACATAATAAAGCTTATACTTGTAAAGCCATTCTTGATACCGCAAGTCAATCTAATTTTGTGAGTTCTAACCTGCTAGGTAGACTAGGTTTTCCTAAGACTAATACTAATATTTTTGTCATTAAATTTAATCATATATCTACAAATATCAAATATTCTACTAATCTTAAAATTAAATCTCTATTTTCTACATTTGAAACATCTCTAATGTGCTTGGTCACAGACAACATTTGTGATAAAATATGCCTTGTCACAAAATAGATACTTCATCGCTTCAAATCACTTTCATCGCTTATAGATATCTTGATTGGTGCGAGTCATCTCTGGGAACTTTTATCTATAGGTCAAGTCAAGTTAGGTTTCCCGATTCTATAAAAATCCAAGCGTGGTTGGATAATCTCGGGTCCTATTCTTCAAATGTTTTCTACCACTACTCAGTGCAATCTTTTGCATGGTGAAATGTGTTCTGATCTTAATCAATTCTGGGAATTAAAACAGTGGAATGTGACAAGTGGAAAGGCAGGCAGATGGTAGATTTACTTTAGCGTTACCTCTCAAGTACTCTGTTTCCAAACTAGGTAATTCTAAAATAATTGCTACTAAACGCTTTTACACTTTAGAGCCTAGTCTTCAGTTAGACGATAAGTTAAGACAGAACTACACTAAAGTTATGTTCGAATATTTGTCAATGGGTCACATGACACAATGTGAACCAACCAATATTTCAGATAAAGTAGAATTTTATCTTCCTTATCATGGAGTCATTAAAGTAAGTCTAACGACTCCACTCAGAGTTGTTTTAATGATTCCTTTTGCTTATCTTCAGGTTTTTCTCTCAATGATTTACAGATGGTAGGAAGAGTCATACAGGACGATCTCATTTCCATCCTACTACGCTTCAGACAGCATTCAGATGTCATTTCCGCAGACATAGCAAAAATGTACAGGCAAATTTTCATAGAGCCTTCTCAAAGATGTTTACAGAAAATAATTTGAAGATCTGATCCAACTCAACCCTTAAATTATTACGAATTAAATACGGTTACATATGGAATCGCTTCGGCCAGCTTCTTGGCAACTCGATGCATACATCAGCTCTCATTAGATTTTGCAGCTCAATTTCTAGATGCTTATCAGTTTATTTCTAACGACATGTACGTATATGACATCCTAAGGGGTTCCAAATCAACAGATCTTTTTCTTTACGTAAGTGGATTTCAAATGATCCTACTATTCTCCATAAGGTGCATGATTTTATATCTTTATTAGATATTCCATTTTCATTTTGCTCAAATGAAAACGCGAAAGATTTAGGCCCTCAGTGGTGCCCTTAATCGGACACACTCTCCTACAAGGTTAATTCTATACGTATTGTCAAAGATTACGAAACGTTTTATCTTATCAAGTATATCCCAAATATTAAATACCTTCGGATTAGTCAGTCCTGTAGTAATAAAACATTTTCTTGCATCAATTATGTTTACAAAAAATTGATTGGGACCAATCTGTTTCTCCACATATTTATACTCAATGGTTAACATTCTGTGATCAATTATTCCATTTAAATGAACTAAAAATTCCTAGGCACTTGAAGCTCGAGGATTTTGTTGTATTAGAAATGCACGAGTTTTGTGATGCTAGTGAAATAGAATATGGCTAACAAGGTAAAATATGAGTAAGCCTACTATTTACCAAATTTAAGGTAGCCCTCAAGCGAGTCCTAATGCCTCGTCTTGAATTATGTGCGGTCCTCATGTTGGCCCAGCTTGTTAATAAAGTAAATAAATCATTGAAACTTCAATTTCGGAACTCATATTATTGGACCGATTCTACTACAGTTCTTGGTTGAAAAAACACTCCATCTCACTTGCTCAAAACCTTTGTAGGCAATCATATCGGTGAGATTCAGTCATTGACAGCATTTCGAAATTGGAGACATATTTGTTCAAGTCAAAATTCAGCTGATTTGTTTTCACGCGGAATTAGCCCTTCTCTTTTTAAAACCTGTAACCGTTGGTGGCATGGCCCACAATTTTTCTTTCTTTCTGAAGAGTCATGGAAAGTATCTAGTATTGATCTCAAATATCTTTTCTCGAAATGAAAAATTCAGGTCAAGCTCTAATTACAGTCAATTATTTTACGTTTCCTCTCTCCTGTCTTATCAAACTTAAGAGACTCGTTGATTATTGTTTACGCTTTATCTATAATTGCTCTATACGTGATAAAACTTTAAGAAGATCTGGTCGTCTTTGTGCTCAAGAGTTAGATTAGTCTATGCATTGTTTAATCACACTAGCTCAAGGATTTTCCACTGAACTAGCTCATTTTTCAAAGGAAAAAATGATTTCTTCCAAAAATAAAATTCTTTCTCTTAACTGTTTTTTGGTCGACAAAGGTATAATTAGAGTTGGTGGAAGAATACACACTTTGAACTTTGAATGTGATAAAAAAACATCCTATATTGTTACCAGATAAACATCATCTGACAATATTACTATTTCGTTTTAAGCAACAACTATCATTTCATTCAGGTGCTCAACATATTCTAGCAGTTTTTAGAGAAAATGTCTGGCCTATTAACGGCAGAAACACTGCAAAGAAGGTAATAAGAGAATGCGTTCAATTCTTTCGTTTTAATCCTAAACATGTCTACCTGATAATGGACAACTTACCCAAAGCTTGTGTTACTCCTTTATTTCTATTTTCAGTTACGGGTGTTGATTACGCTGGACTCTTTACCTTGAAAACCAAATGTGTCGTAATCCGTTATTTTATAAAGTCTTTCTACCAAAGTAATTCACTTGAAACTAGTAACTGCTCTTACTGCCTAATCTTTATATCTACATTAAAACGTTTTATATTTAGATGTGGAAAACCAGTTCAGATTTTGTCAGACAACGGTACAAATTTTATTGGATCTTATAATGAATGAATGGATTTAGGTAACTTTCTCAACACATATCAATCCAATACATTAGATTTTTGTGCGAATATTCAAATAAATTATCAATTTATACCAGTATATTCAATTCATTTTGGAGGTATCTATGAATCAGGTGTTAAATCTACGAAAGCTCATCTGAAAAAAATTATTTCAAATTCACATCTTACTTATAAGGATTTTAACACTGTTCTTGTTCAGATACTTCTTCTTTGGGTGCCGTGTCCGTATTCAGACGTTGGCCGCCATAATGTTTACAATTTCCTGAAACCTTTCTCTGTCGGCTGCTGCGCGAAATAATTCTTCTACTGTGGAACCACAACATTACGCAGCCATGAAAGTTTCTTTCGACCAATCCATCTCTTTCCTTCCAGTTTTCCTTGTATTTTAAGGCGAAGTAGATGTTATTTAGGTCCTCTAATTATATGGCCGAACTATTCTGTTTTTCTCCTCTTCAAGGTGTTTATGAGCAGACGTTCTGAATTGATCATTTGAAGATCATCTTCATTGGAAGTGTGCGAAATCCACGATATCTTCAGGATTCGTCTATAGCACCACAATTCGAATGCTTCTAACTTGTTTAGCATAGTGGTTTTTAACGTCCATGTCTCACAACCATACAATAGGATGGACCACAC